CCCAACGGAGTCATTATGCTCAAAGCTTCTTTCTTGTGAAGTCCTAAGGTTTGGGGGTTTTTTTCCCCTAAAAGTTTTTAAATGGACAGGGGTAGCTATAAAATGTGTGCTGAAAAGTTGACTGAAGATTTGAATCCCTTTTTCCTTATTTAAGATTTGTTACTCTGATGGTTAGATAAACAACAATTTATGCAAATCCTCCTAGCAACGATTTTACTGTATGGAATAGCGTTCTTTCCGGTATTTAAGAAATATCCAGCCTATACATGTAGTAGCCTTGCACAATATTAACTGTAAAGGACGATTTCATTGAGTTTGCTTTTTGTAAAACTAGATATTGCTGCCAACCTAAACCAAAGTATTCTTGTTTTTATGATAAATAGTTGCATATAACCTAAAGACAGATGGCAACTTGCAACAGTAACATAGTTTCATATTACTTAGGTTCTCTGTGATTCCTACATGTCAGTTTATCTCCCAGAACTTTCTTTTAATTCTAATGGAGAAATTTTCCTTAAAACTGATAGCAAAAAATAGTTCACTGTTGTTTTTCCCCAGGATCTTCCCCTCTCATATGCATGCATGCACACACAATGTGCTTTTAACACTAGCAGTTCTTTCAGAGAGAAAATATGATTTGTAGTATATGTTATTTTTAGGTCCAACTCTGCCTCTGCTGATATCCAATCCAGCTAAGAAAATATCTGTAGAAGCATTTAAAATCTGGCATATAGTTTTGGGATGTCATCTACTAGGAATGCTACAGGAACAGCAGTACTGTATAAGTAAACAGATACACCACTGAATAAAGAGAACATGAACTGAACATATATGTAGGTGCACCTTTAGATCCTAGAGAAATGAGAAGTGGAGTTTACTCTTTTTTTTTTTTTTTTTAGTATTATTTCTGTGGCCTTTTTCAGACCAAGTAAATTACCACAAATTGCATTTAGATGACATTTCAACCTAGTTGCAGTTAGAACCCTTGGAAAGTACAAAATCCGATACTAACATGATTCCAAAGGTATGATACATCACACTGAAGCTTGTAACTTCTACTTTTTTTCAAAGAAGAAGAGTATACTTTTCTTTAATAGAACTATTATTACATAACCTAACACTGAACACAGAAATGGGAAATTTAACCTTAGAAAAATTGTCCATTTTCTTTGCGTCATGCTTTAAAAGTCATAACTGAGCAGTTAAAAATGGACTAGTAGATATCAGGAGAAGTGATTAGCTCTTTTTACGGGGTTACCCAGTCATTTAGACAGCGAGTAAGGGATATTTGATCAATGAACCAGCAATGTGACATCTGGTGTGCTGTTACACAGTCATAGGGCCTGATTCTGATCTCTCTGATACCAGCATAAACCAGGAGTAATTTACAAAATTAAAAGCTGTACACCAAACTGGTACGGGATCAGAAGGAAGCACCTTGTGTTCCAATCTGTTCCACTCAGTATCTCATGTCTGACTTAAGAGATTGGCTCGCTTACAGAGCTCTACATTAGACATATTGCCTTCTTGTTTTAAAATATGTATGTTTAATATTTAATTTAACAGAATTCCATATTCCCACCTCTGTGTACAGTGCAAGTCCCTTGGAGGCTTGTGGTTTGTATGCGTAGTCTCAATACTCCTCAAGCGTAATTTGGAAGCGCCATTGCCTAATGGGGTGAAAGGAAGTGTCTGTCTCCAATTAATCTTGGTTTTCTTTTGAGTGAATAATGAAAATATTGCCAAGGCAGAGGCAATTTGTAAAGCGGACTGTAGAAGCTGAGCCAGGCTCACCAAAACTCATTTAATTTAGTATGTGTGGTAGTGCAACACTGGTAGAGGTACAGGTCTCATCAATTGTCCACACGCTTCAAGCATATGCAGCTAATTTAGACTACCAACTTCAAATGGTTACACACACAAAAATTTTGCCAACTCTGAAATATTATTTATAATGCTACACATAGCTTTCACTATACGTAAGACTGCAAGTATCATAAAATAGGTACTGTAAATAGAAATTGTGCCTGCGCTTATACTTTAACAGAAATATAGTTTTTCTTTATATTATGTTGTCCAACATTGTATAGTATATGCCAAGATGACAGATACATACATAATATGCAAAAAACAGTACAATTTAAAAAAAATGCCCACAGATTTTGAACTTAAGATTTGTTGGGGTAGACTGTACAAGATCTGAAGTTACCCCAGGCCAGCAATGGCAGAATGAAAATGGCAGTATAAATGATACCTACGTGGCCGTGATAGCTAGCTTGCAGGAGAGACTATTTTCAAGATCATTTGGCACAACTAGAATGTGGGATAGCTCTCTGAAGTACAGAATATAAACATTGAAAGGTCAGAAATAGACAGCAAAGTTATCCATTCACACTGGCAACGGGAATCTTTGCCATTTGGCTCTGAACCACTTTGCCATTCTGCATCCTAATGACAATTACATGTCCCATACTGATATTTCACTTTCAATTTTCGTAGAATTAGTGAAAGCATTTAAGGAGTTAATGGAGGCATAGTACTTTCTTTACAGAAAATATGAAATTAGATTAGAAATTAGATTGCCTTGAAAACATTACATGCAGCAAAATGTGCACTCAGAAAGCCTTCAGGAGCAATCATCTAAGCATGGTTTCTTGTGACTTGCATTTTATAGTTCCGCTACCGAGAAAAAAACCCAAAGATCTGTGGCGAGATTCTGTTGTCTCCAAGAGGCCCAGTGCAAAACTTTACAATCCAGGAAAACTGAAATTGCGTCAAACTGTTCTCCATGCTCAAAATCTTAAACCGCTGCGAGGAGCCATAAAATCCTCCTGGGACAAAGCAGAGGTAATGGCGGCTACGTGGCAGCTTCTCCCTAACATGCTGCTCCACTCCAGCCCCACTCCCTGCATGAGGACTTCAGAGTGTATGCTCAGAAGGCAATTTTAGGTGTCCTTTCACCACATTCTACCAGCAACATCATCCCTCGGCCAGGAATAGAGAGCTTTTAGGGAGCCAGAGCAGGGACGAAGCTCTGGTTTGTAGCTCTAAACCTACCCTATACGGCACGCAATCCTCTAAAGTGCAGCCAGCTCCTGCTTTGATGAAGCACTGTGCAGCGAGGACTGAAGGATCCTGTTTTTCACCATTTAAAGATGTATGATAGCAACAAAGCTCTATGATAAAATATTTAACTCGCAGAGAGCTTATGGAAATTGTCTATTCAAGCTCAGCAAAGACATTAAATTACCAAGCTGTTCTAGGACAGTTGTGTGTGGAGAAAAGCCAGAAATGCTCCCGGATTGTAATGTTACTTACAAAGATTACACTGTGAGCCTGATTCAGAAGCTTTTTATACAGATCAGCATGGCGAGCTGCAAAATGTTACCATACCAATTTCTGCAAAACATACTGTGTGTGTACATATAGATATAAAATCAGGACTTATACACAGCACATTTCCTGCCATATTTTGAATGGCATCTGTTTGTTTAGTTTGCTGAAATATGAAAAATAATATTTAGCAACTGGTAACACAATGTTAACAAGATTTAAGAGTATAATTCTGTCTGTCAAAATGCAGATAAAAGACAAATCCATCTATCTCAGTATTTTAATCAGTCAGATCATGGTTTTGATGAATAAGCAAATGTACTGTTTATACACTATTTTCACAGTGAAAGGAAACAAATTCAGTTTCATTTAGAATTAATGACAGTTCTATCCTCTATGATTAATAATTAAAACCCTACAAATATTAAAATGGTGCTCTTTACTCCCACCCTCTGAAGATTTTTCTTTTTTTTTTTTTTTTTTTTAAAAAAGATCCCTTCCCCTTATATGTCTGGCCCCCTAATTGAGAAGATTAATAATTAATATCAGTCAGGAATATGTAATGGTCAACTAGGAACTGTACTTAACTGACAAAAGGGTTAACATAATGCTTTCTTTTGTTAATTCTTTCCTTATTCTTCTATCAGAGTTGGTATTTTCTCCAAGTTTTATGCTAGCATAGGGAACTCAATGGAATACTCTGTTACTGTTCTACTACTGCAAGTCCTTTTTTTTATTCCAATGCTGACTATTTGTATGATTTTATTTGGATTTTCATGATGTATTATAGGATTGTTTTTAAAGCCCCAGGTGCTAAAGCACACTTCAGAAGAATTGCAGCTTTCTTCTTCTTCCCCCCTGTCACGCACTGCAAGTGTAGACCAAATATAATCTCAGAGAAAAGATTAAAAATGTGAAACAAGTCTAGTATAAAGTCTGACAAAGTAAAAGGGAAAAACCCAAAGGTTCAGCAATTATTTTTTAATCTGATGACTTCTGAGACGATATGGGAGTGGCTGAGTCATGATTTCAGAATCCTCAGGACAGGCAACAGTTCAGTTCAGAGAAAGTTTATAGCAAAGAGAGCAGAAGTTCAACCTCACCCATTATGCCTACTTCCAGCACCAGGAAGAACTATCATATTTCATTTTCCTGTGGCCACTAGGATCTAAATTGAGATCACTAAACCCCTGTTATTCAAGCCACCAAAACAGCCATTTTTAAGGTTTTTTTTTTTCTAAAGGTAGATTTCTAAATGCTTTGCAGTATTTTCCCAGGAAAAGTTACATTTTAATTCCAAAGATGCTTATTTCCTCCTGAATAGGAGAGTACTTCCAGAAAGATAGACAGACAGAGTACTCTAAAAATCCTATTTCTTCAATAAAGCTGTTTCAGTTTCTTCCTTTAATAACTTTAGAGGTGAGTTGATCCTACCTAGGAATTTTAGCATTGCTTTGTAAATCAAAAAGGAAATATTTTATATGAAATTAAAATAGCATTTGTCTATATTTCACTATGCAAGCAAGCTAGCTCATGCGTCATTGATAGTAGTAAAACAAATATGTGCGTGTGTCTTTTAGTAGAGATGACAAATTATGCACTATAAGCATTTAAGGGTAGGCATTCATAATGAAGCATGCTAGTTGGCAAATACGCTTATTACTTACCACACTGAGTCCAAGCAATTCTCTGCAAAAGTAGTCCATATTCCTCCTCTGTAGGTTGTCAAGATAGTGCTGAAGGCGAGTATAGGTGTAGGGGTAGCAGTAGGCAAACTGGTAAACGTCATCCTCACGGTCAAAGCAAAAAGCAAATGACATGACATAGTTCTTCCTGTGGTCCGGACAGCGATAGTAATACACATTTTTAGAAGGTATTCTTTGCCTAAAAACAAAAACCAACATTGAAACATATGTAAATAGACATAAGAAATCTGAACTAAAAGGCTATCTGAGATTCATATTTCATCTCAAACAAACCAAGTGAATCAATCTGAACAGCTCAGGAGCTGGGAAGTGGATGCCGGAGGACGCGTGCCGGAGCTCCCGCACGCAGTAGCGCCGCAGAAGAGGAGCGTTTCACCCAGCCGACAAGACCCGCTCCCACAGAGACGCGGGGTGGGCAGCTGTCCCCTGCCTTCTCCTCAAGCGAGCCAGACCCAGTACCGCTCCACAGGCGTCAGCCAAACCTCTGGCTGGAGCGTGGCTACAGCCTTTGACGCAGGCCCGATTCTCCAGTCCCAAGATAAGGCATCATTAATGAAGGAACAGTAGTATAAGGCAACACTGACAGACTGGTCCTGAGCTTCGGGATACCTTTGTGTTATTAGAGCCCTTAACAGTCAGGAAACATACCAACATCTAGGCCAAGAACGGAGGAAGAAGATAAATTATGGAAGGGGGAAAAGTCCAAAACCAAAACCTTCAGCTATGGTAAATAACCTAATCCTAAATGAGAAAGTGAGGGAGAAACAGATGTTTGGTCCCCTTCCAAACTGGACTGCTGCCCTTCTCAAGATTGTTAGCTTGTAATGCTGACATGATAAAAACCAAGATACATGATGGTAAATAATTATAACAGAGACATTAATACCACTGTTTTTAAGATGGTATCTATTTAAGGAGTAACAAATGTCTGCCTGACATCGTTCTCCCAACTGTAAATATTCTTTTATTTCTTCACAGAACTGAGGGGGATCAGACCCTTCTTCTGGAGATGTTCAATATTTCTGTTTGCACCCCTTCTGCACTTGTACATGGATTTTCTACCTTTATGTAGATATGAGATTCTCTATTCACGCCATGCACTTGTAATTTGGTGTAACTAAGTTACCAGTCATGTTTGGCAACAAACCACTATGGTCCTGCAGACTCTAACTACTTCAATTACACAACATTATAAACAGGTCTCATCTAATGACTGCAGCAGATCTCAGCTAACTAGGATCATGGTGAGGGAAAACATAATAAGATTTACAGCCATAGCAGTAGTAATGTGCCTCTTTGTAATGGTTCCGAGAAGCTGGCCGACTGCAGAGCATCAGTTTTGGCCTTTTGGTGCTAATACGAAATAGAGGACAAAACCCTCTCATTATGCAGAAGGACATGTTTGCCAATTAGCAGCAGTTAAGGAGTCTGATCAGCAAGACTCAGGAGCTACGAAGAGAAACAGAAAAGAATTGAGATGTTCTTGAAAAAGTACAATAAAAAGCCAGTGATGCAGTTAATTAGACTTGAAGAAAGAATAATTTGCCCCCTTTCTTGCCCTGGTTCTTGAGCATTCAGGGCTTCAAGAATTTATTTCAGCACTTTTGGGGTAAATACAACACTGGCTTATCACTAAGAGCTAAAACTGATTTTTAAGCCACAAATGTGAAGTATAGAAAAAAAAACTTTTGAAATTTTCAAAAATAGCAGTGGCGGAGAGAAAGGCCACCAGCTGTCTGCATGCAGTATCCCAGCCTAATAGGTTTCTCCAGTTTCTTAACATATTTCTATCGTTCATCCTTACTCTGGAGTGCTATAGGACATCCCTCATTTGATCTCAAATCAAGCAGATGATATGGCAGTGGGTAAATGTATTCTAGCTCCCAGTCCTCAGACCGTAATGCAAGTTTAAACAGTAGGTTGCTGAGTTGTTGAACTTTATTTGTTTCCAAGTTAGCATGGGAGAAATAACAAAGGACAAGCCTTACTTTCTGCAATAAAAATTTCATGTAAAACGAAACCAACAGGAAGAATTTCAGGATTTTAAAAAGGGTAATGGTTACTGAAATTCACCAGCTGATAGGTAATGTTTAAATGACACCTAGTTCTCCTTGGTTCAATAACTTTCTACTTTTCAGCAAGTTGAAGACAACTTTTGTTAATGTATTAAAGACACTTTTGATATTTTGTTCCCTTTCCCCCTCATTATAGAAGCTAAGCATCTGTTTTATTATCCACTTTGACACATCACTTTATGGCTGCATTTGGCTATTATGGCTAATCTTGATGTCTAGGACATCTGGTATTGACATTTCACTATCTGGTGTCTGACACAACAGCAGAAACCATCCTCAGTTCCTAGGCTTAAATTCACCCTCTCAGGGCAGAAAGTGCCCAAACTCTTAATTCAAACCATATCTTCCAAAAATAATTATAATAGTACTCCTGTCACTGCTAATCTATTTTTATCTCTCCTAGCACTTTGTCACTGCTAATCTATTTGTGAGTCACATAGAGAAAGAGAGTTCGTGTTTAGATACCAACAACACATCTTCACACACAGGAGCCTAATCAGATTCAGATCTTATCAGAGAATTAAAGAAAAAAAAAAAAAGGAAAGAAAAAGAAAGAAGAGCGACACAGTGCTAGCTATCACCAACTGAGTTTTTGATAACGAAAAGACATTGCTCAGTTCTTGAATTAACCTTTGTGTCCTAGACTTTCCCTTTTTTGTTCTGTGCCTTCTGGAAAAGAACACACACACACTGTGGCAGCAGCTGCTCCTATTAATTTAAAGCTATTACAAAAATTAAAATTAAACCCAATTACTTTGGCTGGTTTATAGCCGGGGAACGGCTTAGTCTGATTGTTCCCTCTGGTTATGGACAAAAACAATATTCCTACCTACAGGCAGCTGCCAGTGGAATACTAATGCATCGAGGGCCCGGCAGGGACAGATTCAGAACGCCGACTTCAACTGCATTTCTGGGCAGAGACAAATATCTTATCACGGATCTGCAGAAATGCGTCAACTTCTTGTACTGTAAGTCACAACGAAGCTGATTTGCAGTTAGAGGTAGGGTTTTTCCTTCAGACTCAGATTTGCCATTTTGCATTTCCAGGCAGCTAACGCTAAGAAACGCACCCTGCTAATTGATACACCACTGCCTGAATTTCATCACTTCTGAACGGTTATTTAAAGGAGAACCACACCAATTCTAAGCACAGCCATAGAGTACAAGATGCAAGCAACTAATTTCTGGTCTGTTTTTAGAAATATATTAAAGAAATGAAGCTTAATATTTTACATGGTTTTGAAACAAATTCAGACTGCCTATTTCTTAAAGACAAATACCAATCTTTTTCTTTCAAAGGAGAAGGAAGCACTGAAAGAAAGATTTCTCCTCTCTTTTTTCATTCATCTTATAGTGCACTGCCAGTCAGACAAAGGTATCCCAAGCCAGGGGGTTTCAGGATCTCCTCCTCCCGCCTAGCAAGGGAGGGGCTCCTAACCCAGCAGATTTGTTATCTGTGCTTGTAGGTGCCTACGCGTTTACCGTGTTGCAGTCTGGAGTCTGGCCACAAGCTATGTTTTGGTAGTGTGCAATAAGGTCAAATTTGTCAGTTTACTAAAAAATTTGACTCCTCAGTCAATGTCAAAACTCTGATCAAATTCAATGGCCCCAGGGTTTTACTCTTTGTTACTATAACAGGCAACAAGTGGTATTTCTCATAACTGAGTTTTGAGAATTTTATCCGAACTATACTTCTCTTTTCAATATAATTTCAATTTCAGCTCTTTCCTAACCATAATTTTGAGCTTAAAGGCAAACTTTATCATCTGTTCTATTTTTTTTCCTTTGCTGCCTAATTTCCTTTTGAAAACTGAGAGTTAATCAAGACTTGGGGGAACAAACACTGGAGGGGTGGCATGGGATGGCAGGGGAGGGGTTGTTCTTCTTTAGGTTTTAAAAATTTAGTGCTGATCAAAGACTAGGGCCCTTATGTGGTACCACAATATAAATAATTAGAAAAATCACAATTTTTAGAGGGCTTGCTTTCCCCTGATGCATGACCAAAGCAGGGAGCTTTTGCCCAGCCCAATGACTTTAAAGAGCAGCCTAAACAGTCTTTGGACCGCTTTTAATATGGCACTCAAAGTAATTATTCAGTTCCTTGCCTCTACAGGATTGGGTTACACATATCACAGTCAGTAGACTTCTAAGTAAAATGATGATCTTTGGAGGAAAAACAAAAAGCTGCAGGTGCTGTAGAAGATCAGCAGCCAAAAGAAAAATTAAGTGATCTGAGTTGTAGAGAAATGCTTGAGTGGATCTGATTGCAATGTAGTGTTAGCTGTGGTGACACACTGTGGTGATCGTTTTCAATTGCCATCAATTTGCAGATGCCAAGATACCCTTTAACAATTGTACAGATTTCCAAGCTTGCTTACGTAATTCATCGCGGTGGGCCTGAATGACAATCTCAGAGGAAATTATGGCTAAATTTTTGAGACTTTTGAAGCACAAACCCTGATTCTGATTCGACTTTTGAAAATAACCTGAAGGTATTTGTTGACCGTACCCAAAATACTAGATCTAACTGTTCCTTCCAAGTGTCAAAATTTTATTCTTAAAGCTAGATGACCCTATTTATTAACTGCAAGAAATCCAACAAACTCTGGAGAAAACATAAGCAAGTTAATCATGCACTGCAAACTCTCTCTACTGGAAGGCAGCCCTTTCGTACTGAAGGTCTTACTGACTCTTTTCTGTGTTAGACTAAGCCATTATATTTTTCTTGCTTATTCTTGTTGACAAGTGGAGCTGACCATCTTCAAAATCCCAAGCTTACTAGTGACAAAATAAGTTTGTAGGCTTTTTCTTGCACAGAATTCTATATTTGATTCACGGAGCATGGAATGACAGTGAATGTGTCAGGTGGTGTTAAATATTTCTTGCAGACAACAGAATGGGTTTTGGCACAGCCAACTCAATTTCAGACACTGCAGAATAAGGCTTCCTTTTATTCTTCTTACTATTTATTAGAATGTTCTCTGAATATGTTTCTCATTTTTAACAGCTCACTATACAACTTAAGGTTTTCCACCTTTACAAATGCCTGATTTGTTCTTATTAAGAACAAAAACTAAAGTCTTTTGTAAATCAGTAGCTTTCT